CTGTCTCTCATTCTCTCTCTCTCAAATAAATAAATAAAATCTTTAAAAAAATAAAAATAAAAAATAAAAAAAGTTAATCAGTGATATAGAGGACAAATAGGACTTTTATATCGCAGCTGATAATTTTATTTCTTATCATATAAAGTTGTTATAAACTCAGCAGTTTAGGGGCACCTGGGTGGCTCAGTTGGTTGAGCATCTTTCTTTGGCTCAGGTCATGATCTTAGGGTTCTGGGATCAAGCCCTGCGTCAGGCTCCCTGCTCAGTGGGGAGTCTGCTTGGCCCTCTCCCTCTCCCCCCACTCATTTGTGAGCACGCATGCACTCTCTGTCTCTCTCTCAAATAAATAAATAAATAAACAAACAAACAAAAATCTTTAAAAAACAACTCAGCACTTTAATTTTTCCTAAGGTACGTTTATCTCAGGAATTACTATCAAAATGAGAACTCCTAACGTGTGTGTGTGTGTGTGTGTCTATGTCTATGTTCTGCTGCAGAGGGCATTATGAAGAATGTCATCATTTTCATATTTCTATATAACTATAGTATCTTTTGTATATCATATATTGTTTGATGGTCATGTTAAAGCTTATATTAAATTTGAGAGGATGAATCTTATTTTCTTCCCCAAAGGGGAAACATTTGTTGCTCAGATGACAATATTTCCTTTTCTTTTGTATTTGGACTCGTTTTTGTTGTTCTGGCTTAATACTGAAATACTTAATACCTGACTTTTTATGGGGAGAACAAAACATTGCCTCTTTTTCCTTTAGGTGGCTTTCTTCCTCCAGAAGAAATAAAAGAAAGATTTGACAGCAACTGTATTACACCAGTAAGTAGTCTCATACTTTGCCAGCTGTTGCTAACTCTTAAATGGTAGGTTAATTTATTTCTTTCTATCATTTTAGGGAACTGAGTTCATGGACAATCTTGCTAAATGCCTTCGCTATTACATAGCTGATCGTTTAAATAATGACCCTGGGTGGAAAAACTTGACAGTAAGTTTCACATTTTGGTACTTCAGAAAGATAAGGGTGATCATTTTAGGCTGTACTTTGATATGACTGATAACCCCATAAAATGCTAGTTGACTGTCAGAGGAAAGAGAGGCTTCCAGGGTTATTAGAGATGGGGTGCCCTGCATGGTCCAGTTTTAGACTGCTGAATTTTCTCTCAATGCCAATTTTGTCCTCTTATCATCACTATGAAGCTATAAAACGGGACCCATGATTTAAAAAAATACATATATTTTGTATTATATGTAAAATATATATATACATATATATATAGGAAAGCAATTTTTAAATGAAAATTTCTATTATTAGAAATCAAAACAGCAAGATTAAAGTCGTAGGGCTGCCTTTAAAGAATAGCTGTGTTCTTCTACGTGTTTAAGTAATATTTAAATGAACTTATATGTAATTTTAAATTCAAAGCTTGTTGGGGCACCTGGGTGGCTCATTTGGTTAAGCATCTGCCTTCTGCTCAGGTCATGATCTTGGGGTCCTGGGATCGAGCCCCGCATCGGGCTCCCTGCTAGGTGGGGAGTTTGTTTCTCCCCCTCCCCCTGCTCATACATGCACTCTCTCTCTCTTAAATAAATGAAATCTTTTTAAAAATAAAAAAAAAGAAATTCAAAGCTTGTTTTGCTATAAACTAGATATGGTGAATTATATTTAATGGGTATTTTTTATTGATTACTTCCTGGGCTTTTGTGGTTTGGGGCTGTATCCTTGGGTAGCAGTGAGAATACTAGAAACCTGTGAACTGAACAGTTCTTTTGGCTAAGTTTGACTGAAACATTTCATTTTTTCTATTCCTGTAGTAAGTTAACCAATGAAACAATTTTGGTGTTTATCACACACCTTATGAAAAATTTCTAATTAATAACACTGTCTTAATAGAATTATCCTAATTTATTTTAAGCTATTCGATTTTATTGATTTTTCTGCTAGACAATTGGAGATGAACTGACAGTGTTAAAAACTATTTTTTATAGGTTATTTTATCTGATGCTAGTGCTCCTGGTGAAGGAGAACATAAAATCATGGATTATATTAGAAGACAAAGAGGTAAAACTCCCTTATAAATATTTTATTATATGTTCTATTAAAAAAGCTAAGCCATTATATAGAAAATATTTGGTAGAATGTGATATTCCTCTGGTATAAAATACATTTATATAAATAAAATGTATCTTTCTCCCCTCTTTAGCCCAACCTAACCATGACCCAAACACTCATCATTGCTTATGTGGAGCAGATGGTAAGTTTCTTTGGGATTTGATTCTCTTGGATTAAACCATAGCAAGTTGATGGGTTGGTGTGTAGTAGTGGATTATTCCTGGTTTCCTGGAAATTCTAATAGGCCTTGCTCATTTTATGTTTGAGAAGGAACTGGTATTAAGTTGTTTAATCTGTGATTCATGTTCATTTATGCTTACATTTTAAAAATACTTTTCAACCTTTTGATATTGTATACCTTTAAATGGAAGATTTTCTGTGCCCGTGTGTCTGGAGGACAACTTGTTGCCTAAGAACTAAGAAGTTTTAGGTTTTTTGGCTTTACCACCTCTGTTTATGTGCTAGTTTGGGCTTTTTTTTGTGTTGGTAACTTGTGTTACAGTGGTGTCCTTTATCATTGGTTGGGGTAGGGTCTTCTTAAAGTGCTCACTGTTCATTGTTTTATCATTGTTGATTGATAGCTGATCTCATTATGCTCGGTCTTGCTACACATGAACCCAACTTTACCATCATTAGAGAAGAATTCAAACCAAACAAACCCAAACCATGTGGACTTTGTAATCAGTTTGGACATGAGGTCAAGGACTGTGAAGGTTTGCCAAGAGAAAAGAAGGGAAAGGTAGGAATTTTGAAATGGTAGTTGCCTCATTTAAAATTTTTCTATTTTATTTTTTGTTGTAATAAAATACACTTAAGACATAATATACTGTTTTAACCATTTTTAAGTTTACAGTTTAGTGGCATTAAGTATATTCAGGTTACTTCATTTTTAGAATGGATAAAGAGAAGACTATATTGTATTAGATTTTTACTTACTTGCTCTGTTACCCTCACAGGAATGTGTCTTTCAAAGCCCTTTAAAGTGAACACACATTCAAAAGCATGCATGCACTCAGTCTTTCTCCACTCACTTCTAGTATAGTTTATGTCTACATGAGGCTTAGGTCTCCTAGTTAATAATGCCTCTTACACATGATTTGTTTATAGAAGTATTTGTTTCAACTGATTATTTTTTCTTAAAAAGAATATAAATAAAATATATTAATCTGCTTGATACTTTTAAGTTACTCCTAGTTCCTATATATTTTGGGTTCACTTGATTATATCCAGCCCCCTTTGAATGGGTTTTCATCTGATTTAAGAATATGGTGCCTCTTTAAAAGACATGCTCAGTGGAAAAAAGGTAAAAAATTTACTGTATGTTCATAGAGAAGGGTCTAGAAGTATATACCTTGAAATTTAATATTGACTGGATGTAGGTCAGGGGTTGGCAAACTCCAGCCCTCCAGATTTGACCAATGAGCTAAAAATGGTATTTATATTTTTAAAGAGTTGTAAAAACAAAACATGAAAAAATATGCAACAGAGACCATATATGTCTCCAGAAGACTAAAATGTTTACTATCTAGCTTTTTGCAAAAAACATTTGCTGATCTCTGGTCTAGGTGTGATTGGGATTATGGATAATTTTTTATTTTTAAAATGATTTGGTGAGGTTTTTGGTTTTTTTTGTTAATACTTGTAGTATTAAAATGAATCTTGCTTTAGAGAAAGCCATGATATATTTATTTCGTTGGAAAAAGTTACAGGGTTTAGAGTAGACTTGTTTAATCTTGACTCCCCTTTCCTGCAGCATGATGAACTTGCAGATAGTCTTCCTTGTGCAGAAGGAGAATTTATCTTCCTTCGTCTTAATGTTCTTCGTGAGGTATGTAGCAATAAACACTGGGGTTAGTGCTCTAAAGCAGGGTGGCTTTTGATAGCTTTAATGGTAGCATTCCTTCTTGGTTGTAGTATTTGGAAAGAGAGCTCACCATGGCCAGCCTGCCGTTTACATTTGATGTTGAGAGGAGTATTGATGACTGGGTCTTCATGTGCTTCTTTGTGGGAAATGACTTCCTTCCTCACCTGCCATCATTAGAAATTAGGTACGTGTGTTTGTGTGGATTTTCAAACTAGTGTTTTAGCCTTCTTGCCTTTACAGTGTACAGTGGTCCTAATGCGAAATGTTTGTTTCCTGGTGGCAGGGAAGGTGCAATTGACCGTTTGGTTAACATATACAAAAATGTGGTACACAAAACTGGGGTAAGTTCACTCTTGAATAATTTCAAAACAGAAGTATTTGCTTTTATAAGAAGATCATTTTACATGTATTTTATCACTTACAGGGTTACCTTACAGAAAGTGGTTATGTCAATCTGCAAAGAGTACAGATGATCATGTTAGCAGTTGGTGAAGTTGAGGATAGCATTTTTAAAAAGAGAAAGGATGATGAGGTAAAGTGTTTCTATTGCAGTAGCTAAATTGCTCCTGTCTCTAATAGGCTGTGATGATCCTGTGATTGTACTTTTAACCTCTTTGAGTGCGTTGTTATTATTATAGTGTATCAAACACCATTGTAATCATGAGTGGTCAGTGCTTTGATTATTTTATAAAGGTGGTGATGCTTGCTGTGTGGAACTGTGTATTGCACACTGTGTGAGTTGCATTGTAATTTTTTTCTCTCTTCATAATCTTAAGATAAAAATCCAAACACCTCTCTAATCAGTAGGCTGTGAAATGAGGGTGCCAAGGCTAGATGAATGCTGGGATTGAACTCGTGGCTGCCATGTTTTATAGGAAATATTTATGCCCTGGAAGACAGGTTAAGACTTAGGAACTCTCTACTCTGGTAGTAGAATATAGGGGGTCAGGGTTGGATCACATCAGCCAAAGCAGACAGTTGCAGGTCTGAGTAAGAAATTTATACGTGAAAGAAAGAAAATAACATAGCACTTGGAAATTGATCATGTATGATAGGATGAGTGCTTAGGTGAGAAGTCCAGGTTTCTGGCTTGGGCAGTTGGGAGATTGCTGGTACCATTCACTGAGATAGCAAGCACTTGGGGTAGAGCAGGTTGAGCTGGGGACAAGGTAGAAATTGAGTTTCATTTTGGAGATACTAAGTTTGAGGTGCCATATAGGAGACACGGGAGAGGAGAAAGTCCATGAAGCAATTAGATGGATTTGTGTAAAGCTCAGGGCAGAAGTCTTTTGACGGGAGATTTGAGAACCATTAGTGGATGGGAGTTACCTCAAGCTGTCAGTGTGAACTTGAAGTCCCTGGGAGTCTGTGTGGAGTGAAAGTGCCTCCAATAGAAACGTTGAGAAACATGGACATTTAAAGAGAGAGAGGAGCTAGTTGTAGAGAGATGGGAGGAAATCCCTAAAGAGAGAAGCCATTGGTGCTCTCTGACGTGTCAGGGCAAGATGGACAGGCCCCTAGTCCATGGCCAGGGGTTCAGAGGCTCTGGGGAGTCAATGGGGCATAGTGGCGGTAGTCTGGAGGCAAAGGGAGGGTGGAGGGTGATTGTGGGGGAGTGTCAAGGGAGGTAAGCAGTGGGTAAAATTAACAGATAGTGCTTCTTAGAGAGTGAAGGAAATCCTTTCAGAATCTGATCTTAAAAAATTCATATGCCTATTTTGAGCAAATATTGCTACATTGCTTCATGATTTCCTTACAGATTAAAACATGTCATTGTGTCTGACAGGATTTTATATTTTCTTCAACTTTGTGTACTGTAGCTAGTGGTCTCTTTCTTAGAACTTTCAGTACCATTTTATGTAATAGAGTGAGTGGACTCTAAGCATTCTTTCCAAAACCTTTGGTACTTGGTAATCCACTATGGTGGCAAGAATTTTTCATGTGTAAGGTTCCAATAACAGAACTGACTTTGTCTGGGATATCAGATGTGTACCAGCATAGCCA